CGGTGAGATCACACCAGGTGGTGGCTGGGGTGGTCATGGCCGGGCGACCCTTCGGATGGCTGCCGAAGACTTCTTCAGGCGACAACTCGGCCGGTGGCCCTTCTTCGCCGATCGGAAGCACTTTCGCCTGATTGCCATCCTCCTGATGATTGCCGAGGTGGCTATCAGTCTGTTCATCGTTCACCATCGCAAGTGTAAGTCTTTCTTTTTAATCTATGCTGCCCCTTTCCTTAATCTTTTCAATTTTCCCAGACACCGAAATCGACTGGTCCACTTACATGCAGCAGGTGGAGTGCTTCCTCGGCGGGACACTTGACTACGAGGCGATCAAGGGAGACACTGGGCCGATCGTCTACCCGGCCGGTCACCTGTACCTGTACACACTGTTGTACTACATCACCGGTCGAGGGAGGAACATTTATCTCGGCCAGTGCATCTTTGCGCTGCTCTACTTGCTCATGATGGGCCTCGTCTTTAGCCTCTACACGAGGCACTCTCAGGTATGATCCTGAAGTCCTTGAAATGTTCTCTTATTCTTCTCCTTTCCCTAGGTTCCACCGTATGTGCTCATCTTCATGGTCTTCACCTCGCACCGTGTGCACTCCCTCTTCATGCTACGACTCTTCAATGACCCAGTGGCGATGCTTTTCCTCTACGGCTCACTGGTGGCTTTCACCCGGCGGAAGTGGGCCACCGGGTCGGTGCTCTTTTCGTATGTAACCATAGTTCGCAGGCTTTTATCTGATTTAGATCACAAATACCCTTTGCCACTTTCAGCCTTGCAGTGTCCATCAAGATGAACATTCTCCTCTTTGCGCCGGCACTCTTTCTCCTCCTCGTCGAGAGCCATTCGGCGCGTCTGACTGGAGTACTCAAGAGTTTGTCCGTCTGTGCCGCCGTCCAAGTACGTATTTGTGTCAAGTTTATGTGCCAACTATGTTTGGCGATTATGATTGTCCGCCGTTTAGCTGATGGCATCCAAACTATCTAGCCCTCATCATTTTCATAATCTCCTGTGCTGCCGTCATTCTCAACAGCCAGGATGACCTTTGCGACAAAACTGTGTGCAGCAGTTAATTACGGCCGCCCAGGAAATTCTTTCGGCTCTTTAGCCAGTAGTGACCAGACCAAAAATTCAGGACATAGGGGCGCCATGATTCATACAGAGAGTTAGATTGCCTACTTTTTTCCAGCATTTTGTTATTTTTGGACTGAACTCATACTGCCCTCATACTTTATCTCCCTCTTCTCCGTTTTCGAACCCAAACTCACACCACAGCTTCTTCTCGGCCTGCCCTTTCTGGCCACCCATCCGCTGGCCTATCTGCGCAGTGCCTTCAACCTCGGTCGCGTCTTTCTGCACCAGTGGACAGTGAACTACCGCTTTCTGCCGGAGGCGCTCTTCACCAGCTCCACCTTTCACCTGTCCCTGCTGGCGGTGCACATTACCGCGCTGGTGCTCTTCTTCTGGCCGAGGTGCGTTGAAGTGAAATGGATCTCGAAGATTGGACTTGCCATTTACACATCTGTTTGTACATTTTCAGATGGATCTCCGCCTTTAGAAGACTACTGCTGAGTTGTACCGGAAGGGAAGCCGCAGCGCGTCCGAGCGTCACGCCGAGTAGTCAAAGTAAGTAGTAGAAGCCTCAAAAGAGATACATTCAAACTCGGGCAATCTCGACTACTAATTTAATTTGGCTTTATTTGTTTATTTGTTGTTGTTTACCACCACCACCACATTCAGACATCCTGCTGACGATGTTTACGGCCAATCTGATCGGCGTCGCCTTCAGTCGGTCGCTGCACTACCAGTTCTACGTCTGGTACTACCACTCGCTGCCCGCCCTCCTCTGGGCGACGCGTTTCAGTCCGCTGGTCAAGTGAGTAGAGAGAGTAAAGTTGTTGTTTGTTGGTGTTGTTGTCACAGCAGAAAAGGGAGACCTTTCGGGGCTGATTTAATTAGCAACAGCAGTGCATAAGTCAATTAGCACACGCAGACTAATTACATTCTTTACTCCCTCTCACTATTGCTACCACCACTATCGCCACCACCAGCATTTGCATATGGGGCCTCGTGGAGCTCTGCTGGAACGTCTACCCGAGCACAGCGTGGAGCAGCGCCCTTCTCCACGCCATGCATCTGTTGCTGCTGCTGGGCCTGTTTGCCAATCGCTCCGCTAATGGACTGGCCGCAGTGGAGGCAGCAGCAGAGGCAAATGACAGCAGCAGCAGCAGGAGAAAAACCAAATAAAGACGAGAAGCTGGCTAGCTGGCTTCATCACCAAGCTCATCTAATCACCGCCGCCGCCGCATGCTTGTCAATAATCGCATTAGCACCGCATCGCTAGTGCGTCGCCATCTTCTCCTCTCCTCTCCCCTCTCTGCCCCTTTTTGCCTCACTAATGAATAGTCCGTTCGTCTGTGCCACTGCTGTAATTCAATTATAAAACCATCACTGAACCAGTAGTGGTGGTCAGCTCACTTTCACTTTTCGAGCGAAGATCCGCCGCCGTTGGATTAGTGCTGTTTGTGGTGGTCAGTGTGACGACGGAATAAATGCACTGCAATGAGGGGAATGAGTGCTGCTGCTGCTGATGCTGGTGACGCAATTGTCAAGTACGGTGTGTTCTAGTGCTGGTGCTGCTGTTGCTGCTGGTCACAGGATTCTGTCTGCAGGAGAGTGCGAGAGAATGTTTGGTTAGTGTGTGTATGTGTGCTTGTGTGTGCGTGTCGGACCGAGATATAAAAAGGCCACTCGGTGCCGCTGGTGGACACAATATAGTGTCATCACAAACAGCAGCGGCAGCAGCAGCTCACCTCGACTGATCTCACCTCAGCAAACAGCGATCTTCGGAGTCACTTTCGATTTCTCTCTCTCTCTCTCTCTCTCCATTCTTTCCTTCTTTCATTCATTACTTTGGCAAATCCCCTCTGCAAATACTATTACCTCAGCTCTGCTCCTTCTTCTCCTCTCTTTAATTGCGGGCTATTTTTAACACCAGTTGACCGACCAGCTTCGTGCGACCAGATCTCTTCTCTCGGGGCTGCACATAATTACACACTGCAGCAGTCATTTCAGTGACAGCAGCGGTGACGACTTCATCTTCAGACTTCTTCTTCTTCTCTTTGTTCTTTGATCGCTAATTCACATCTCTTAACTTTTCAAAAACACTTTGTCTGTTTGTGTGTGCCAGTGTGTCCTACAGTCTGTTCGACTAACACGGTAAGAACACTACAACAACTTCAGTACTTCCCTAGATATGTTGAACCGATAGACTCGGTAGTCCTTGAGGAGGACAGTTTCAGAACAGCTAACTTTGGAGATTAAAGAGGAGGAGAAGAAGAAGGAGCGGTAGGTCACGTACCGTTAGGAGGGGCACGGAAGCAAGGAAGGCACTTGTTGGGGTGGTTGTTGTTGTTGTTGTTGTGTTCCTTTTTACTCTTTACCCTGGCAGTAAGTTTGCACCGCTGACAAGTTCAATGCCGTCCTAATGATGATGATGATGATGAGGGTGATGTTGACGGTCGTCGGAGCACGTCGTCTTTGTCTTCATCTTCCTCTGCTTCATTCACCACTTGTTCACTTTTCAGCCTTTGTCTTTGTCTTCATCTTTTTTGCTCCTTCTACTCCTCCTTTTCTTGCGGTGTCCTTTCCCGTCACGTTACTGCGTTCGATTGCAATCATTATTATTATTAGTGATGGTATTAATAGTGCCAATGCTGAGATGGTGATATCTTCATCCGCTGCAGCAACAGCAGCCGAGAAAAATCTTGGCTGTGGATGAGATATAAAACAGATTTCACTGATCTCACTTGTAGTGATTACCTTGTGAACAAAGCTTTGCCTGTCAATCTCTTCTCACTGCTCTTATCCTCACTTTCTCT